GGAAAGCTCCCGGGCCCTCATCACCACAAGCTGCCAGGCCTGGGGAGAGGCAGGAGGCAGGCCCTGGGCCCAGGAAGGAACAGAAGACCTGGTTTGGGGCCAAGAGGCTTCAAGTGTGGTGACGTAGGGGCTGCTTTTGCCGTCTAAGTCAAGGGCGTCCCGAAGTTCCCATGCACAGATTTTAAAATCTCATCACTGCCTGGATTTCCACATGAAAGTCCGATCTTGGATCAAGCATAGTCCTCCCTCTATTACTCAGATGGCTGTCCCTCCTGACGGAGCCCCTCACCCCTCACCCCTCCTGGCTTCTGACTGCCGGAGGACCCCACCCACTTCAGGGTTTGTCTCCCCTCGTGTCAGCACGTTTTCTCAAAGGCCAAGCGGCGCTGCTTCCGAAGGCCCACCTCCTGCCCCACAGGCATGCACTGCGCCCAGCGAGCAGAAAGGGGACCCCACTCTGCTGTGTGCCGGAGCCAGGACCACGTCCCAGGCAGAGTCAGGGCCATGCCGCCCACTCCCACCCCAAACTCGTGGAAACAGGCTGGTCCGCATTCAGGCCCATTTAATCCAACACACGGTGACAGCCCAGAGTGACAGACCAGACAGGGCAGCCGGGGACCAGGGTGGGATTCAGAAACTGAGAAGGTGGTCACCCTCCAGGAGCCATGGAACCCAGACCCCACCTGGCAGGCTGTAAGGACAAAAAGGGTTCGGGCCACGAAGGAGGGATGGAGTCCCTGCGATGGGGAGGTGGGAGATGGTTCAGGAGAAAGGGAGCATCGGGGTTGAACTTGGAAGGAGGGAGGACAGTCTGCACAGGGGGAGCCCCAGGAGCAGGGACTCGGAGGCCGGAGACCCAGAGGTTCAAGGGGTGGAGACAAGCTTGGGCAACATTTAGACTCAGTGATGTATCAGAGGTGCTCCGCCGAGTCCGCCACAGCCCACGGAGTGACCCCAGGCCACTGAGTCAGCCTGACCCATGGCACAGAGGGTTGTGCTGGCCTAGCCTTAGAGGGCATGGGGCACAAGAACCTGCTGGGGTTGCCATCGCCAACGTGGTCAGGCAGGGAAGTGACCCGCTGGGCTGAGTCAGCCCCTCATGGCAGAGGCACGGCCTCGGCCTGCCCAAATGCCAGCGGCTGCTGGCCGGGGGGGACTGACCCATGTTGGGGCCCACACAGCGCCAAGGGCGGGAGGACGGAGCCTGGAGTGTGCCTCCTTCTCCCAAGCCTGGACCCCGCAGAATGAGCTGTGCCCGCTCTGCCTCCACTGCCCTGTGGGTGCCCTGAGCGCTCGCTCACAGCGGCCCAGCGCCTGGGAGGCTTAACAAATGCCCACAGCCCAGCTCCTTGCTCGCAGCAGCCTCAGGCCAGGTGCACCCTCATCGCGACCTTCGCTCCCTCTCTGACGGTGAATTTTCAAGCAGAGCCGAAGGAGGTGCAGGCCCAGGAGGGACCTTTCAAACGGGTTGTGCCTGGGGCTGTGCCAGAGGCCCGGGTGGGAGGCAGGTGGCGAGGGGAAAAGGGCAGCCTCCGTGTCTGCCTGACCCAGTCCGTTCCCTGGAGACCTGAACCTCAGGAAGCTCCAGATATCTGCCGGCATACCCCAGACAGGCCCCCACTCTCCGGGCTGAGATCGGGGCGGAGGCCTCCCGCAGCACTGCCTGTCTGCACCATGGCTGTCTGCAGTGGAATGTAAAGTGCCCCACAGACAGATGACACACCAGACGTCCCTGCGCCCTCCTCCCCGCACCTCCTATACTGCAGACACCAGGCCTCAGCAGGTCCACAAGATGGACCCCACCAAGGGAGAAATGAGAGAAGAGGTCTCTGTGTGGTGGGTGCAGCCAGGGAGGGGCTGACCCCTTGACCCACTCTAGGACACAGCCTGCTTGGTGCCATGAGGAAGGACAGACTAGGCAGAGCTCCATTGGAAGCTTTGGGCCCACTGGACAGTGGTCAGGAGAGGGTCCGTCTGCACCCAGCACCAACGGCTGTCCTCGGGCGAGAAGAGCTGAGCAGCCTCCCTATCAGGGATTCTGGGCTGTGGCTCATCTTGCCTCCAAGCGATGGCGTGGGGCTCATGGGGACAGAGAGGTAACAAGGCAGTGACAGGACCCAACAAACCAGAAACAGACTCATGGAAACAGAGAACAGACTGATGGTTGCCAGAGGGGAACTGGGTGAACAGGTGAAGGGATTGAGAAATACAGACTGCTGGTTACAAAATCGTCACAGGAACGTCAAGTACAGCACAGCGAATGTAGTCAGTAATATAGTAACTGTGTCTGGTGCCAGGTGGGTACTAGAAATATCAGGGGAAACATTTATAAAGTACATGATTGTCTAACCACTAGGCTGTACACCTGAAACTAATACAAAATAATATTGAATGTAAATTGTAATTGAAAATAATTTTAATTTAAAAAGAGACAGCAACAGCCCTGGCCAGTTTGGTTCAGCAGTTAGAGTGTTGGCCTACAGACCAAAGAGTCCCGGGTTCCATTGTGGTTTGTCCCTGGCCCCAGCTGGGGTCATGCAGGTGGCAACCAACCGATGTGTCTCACATTGATATCTCTCTCTCTCTCTCTCTCTCTCTCTCTCTCCTCTCTCTCTCTCTCTCTCTCTCTCTCACTCCGTCTGAAGATAAATGTAAAAATATTGAAAAAAAAATTTTTTTTTCAATCCTGCGAGGATTGAAAAAAAAAATTTTTTAAAGACAGTGACAGATGAAAAAGAACCAGCTAGTTGCAGGCATGTCCGCGTTAAACAGCCCAGGTTCACACAAAAGGTTGTGATCCTTCCTTTTACAAAAGAACACCCACAAGTTTCCTTCAAGCTCAAAGTCAGTTTGAAAGTTGATTCAATTTGCAGAAACGCGTGGTTATCTCACATCTACACAACATTTTCTGAGGAAGGCTTACAGGGAAAGCAGGGGGTCCCAGCCCTCAACAGGAAGTGAGGAGCCCCAGGTGTCCCTCTGACCGGGGGTGGGCTGGCATGCCCCAGCCCTGTCTGCAGGCAGCCCGGCTCCGCAGTTCGGTTCTGGGCTTTGGAGTCAGACTGCTCGGGCTGCGACCCAGGCAATGCTATTTAATGACCATGTAACCTTACTAACTATCCCAGACTCATTTTTCTCATCTATAAAATGGAGATAATGATAGCTTTCCATAGGCTGTTAGAAGGCGTAAAGGATAAGGAACATTGAGCATTTTGTATAAACGCTCAATACGGTCTGGCCATCAGTGCTCCTCGTCTGTGCCCAGGTGCCACGGTCTGGCCACGGCTCACTTCACACCTTGTCAGCAGCCCTCAGGCTTGTCTGTCAGGCCTCGCATGTGGGGGCAGATATGACACTGGAGAACGTGGAGGAGGGGGTCCCAGCGTTTCCCCCAGATGCCCCTCTCACGGTAGGGCCGAAGCCCCGCCCCAGCTAATGTCATCCCTCTTTTCATGAACCACCATCCAACAATTTATTACTGGGCAGCTCACCCCGCACCCCACAGACATGAACATGACCCTGTGGACGCCTGGGGCAGCTCCTCTGGATCCTTGTTTGTGGAATTCTCTCTTGTAAAGCAGAAGTCAACAAACTCTTATGCAAAGGGCCAGAGCATAAATATCTTGGGCTTTGCAGGTTGTCCGTCTCTGTTGCAACTACTCCATTCTGCATTGTGGCATGAAAGTAGTCACAGACAGTGTGGAAACTAATGGCCCTGCTGTGTCCCCATAAAAGTTTGTTTACAGCCCTGGCTGGCTTTGCTCAGCGGTTAGAGCATCAGCCCGTGGACCAGAGAGTCCCGGCTTCGGTTCCCACTAAGGGCACGTACCTCGGTAGCAGTTTGTCCCCGGCCCCAGTTGGGGTTGTGTGGGTGGCAACCAGTCAATGTGTCTCTCTCACATTGATGTCTCTCTCTCTCTCTTCCTCCTTCTTTCCCTCTGCTCTATCTGAAGATAAATGCAAAATGTCCTTGAGTGAGGATAAAAAAAAGTTTGTTTACAAAAACAGGTGGCAGGCGGGATCTGTCCTATGGCCCATAGTTCGCAGCGTATAGGAGGTGTATGCATGAAGGAGTACCCTCCCCATGGGTAACAATGAAAGGGTGACCGAGGTTCCCAGCCCCATGGGATAAACACACTCACACAGAGAACACACACATACACATACACAGACTGCCCAGAGCCAATAGCTACGCCAGCCCAATGACTGGCCCAAAGTTCACACTCGATATGATATACATACTTGTTTATTCATTTGATGGATGACAGAATGGATGGAGGTGGAAGTATGTACCACTGCAGGAGGTAGGACTATGATCACTACAAAGGGAAGATCATTAAAAAACTCATGCCACATGGCTTTGGGACATGGTTCTTTACGTTCATTTAAACAGCACTATTTTGGAAAAGCTAATATTTCATTTGAAGAGCTAACATTTTTGGAAGTGTGATGTATCATGGTAGGATGAAGTCCCTCTGAAAAACCTGATTCTGGCAGAGCTGGGAATGAAACCAGCCTCCCCACCTTCTCTGAGAGTAAACAACCTCACCCCCAGACTGCCCGGTTCAGGGGAGATAGGAAGCACAATGCAGAGTAGGCTTTCGGCGTTTGACATCAAAGGAAGTGTTTTGGTCTAAAAGGTGTTTTCCTGGGCTTTCATTCACTTTTACTCCCAGTCATATAGAATCAAAGAAAACAAGGCATTACATATGTCCCAGAAGTTTATAACTGGTGATAGTTAATGAAATCAGTGACACCTTGAAAGCAAGCCCCTGTCCTATTAGGAGATCCACTTGGAGACAGTGAGGGCTGAAGGGCCATCTCTTCCCATGCACCCAGCAGCGCCTCTCCCAGCTGGTCCAGTGCAGCCTGCGGAGGGACCTGGGCAGGCGCAGAGCGGGCCCGGCTGCAGAGAGAACACAGGTGCCGCCTACACGGGCCCAGACAGTGTACTGTGTGCTATGCTAATGCTCGCAGTGTTGGGAGCCCCCGGGGGTCCCTCACTTTTCCCCTAAGACAGCAACATTCCTGAAGCTCTCCGCGTCTTCTGGCTTCAGGGACCCTGCAAAGTTCTTCAGATGAACCACCTCAGACTGAACGGAGTACCTTTCTCGAGTGCTTGTATCTCTTAAAAGGGGAACCAGGCCAAAGTTCTTCCAGTTTCTCCCTGAAACTAAAGGGTAAAACATCATTACTGCCTCGGATGCAGCAAAACGATGCTAAACATGTATTCGTTGGCCTAACCAGTCTCCAGATAAAAGGGGGCCCGGGCATGCCGGTGCTTCCTGAGGCGCCCCAATCCATGCCCGCTCCTCTTCCCTCAGCTGCTCAAGGAGCCTCATCCACTCTGGCAGCCCCTTAACTTCTCTTCCTCCGCCCCACCCTGCTTGCTTCATGAGGGTCCACTGCTTGCCCTCGCTTGCCTCCCTGCCCACGCGGGAGGGAGAGTGGATCTCCACGGAGCAACGCTGGGGCCCGCCCCCTGACCTGCTGCACACCAGGCCAGGTGGAGGGTGATGAACACCAGCCAAAGAATCAGGATTTGGGGTCCAGGCTCCACCTGGGCATAGCAGACTGGGAACAATGCCAAGGGAACCGTGGTGACACTGGGCCTTGGACAGGGATCCCACATGTGGCCTATAATTCCAGGAAGCTTCTGATGAGGACCTAGCGGTCACCCTCATAGCCACCTCCAGCCCTGGCCGGCAGGAGGGAAAGCTGTGTGTGCTCGCCTTCCATTTCCAGAGCCCTGGTCGGCCACACCTCCCAGCCCCTGGCCACAATCCAGACCCTTCTGCTTGAATCCAACACTGGCCACATCTCAGCGGCGTCAGGAAAGCTGGAGGCTGGGCCCCTTGTGACTCCTCCAGCTTAATACTTCAGGTCCTGGGGTTTCCCACAGCTGTCACTGGCCTGCCCCCTACCCACAGTTTGACACTAAGCACCAATCGCTGAATGGCGATCCCCTGGGGAGCCCAGGGATAGAAGCAGGAGGCCATCGTCAGGAGACAGGCCAGACGCTCACTGAGACACCATCTTCTGGGTGGTAGGGAGACCCAGCCTCAGGGACTGCTTGGCCCAGCTCCCGCTCCAGGGCCCTCAAAGGAGGTGTGGGTTTTCCAGTGCCCACTTCCCACTGTCCTGAGGCCAAGACCCCCTCATGTGCTCTCCCTAGTTCAGTTACTGACCACTTTCCTTCCTTGCCCTTTCCCTCATGCATTCCCTCACCCCTTCCCAATCACAGACACCACGGACTATCTGGATTATCTGACTATTTGTACTGGAGTGTCACTGTTACAAAGTTGTATAGGAAAGCAAAATCTTCAGGAAATATTTGCCAGGTATAAGTATGAATTCAGAGAACCTCTAACCATTCCCCACCCCCACCCCCAATGAACTTGAGTGTGTGCATCCCTGCCACCAGGTCAATGTCTTTGTTAATATCACAGTGAACATGCAGTTGTGTAAACAGCCAACAATGTGATGCAAACATAATTCAAGTCAACTTCAGAGTGAAACAGCAAGTCTTGTAAAAGATGTGGGATTTCATGAAATCAATAAGAGTGACGTTGGGAAACCGCTCCGATCACATGTAAAGCCATCTTCGAGTGTCTCTGATGAGTAGACCAGTTAACAACCGAAGACAAGGTCATCAGTAAGTATTATGAAATGACACAGGGAGTGCTTTCAATGAGACTCATGGGGAAATTACAGGATTGCAGGAGGCCCTTGGGAAAACTGATGAAGCCCTTGAGTAATTTCCCAAAAGTAATTCTCTTGATAAAATAGATTTCCACTTCCAACTCTGAGGGAGTATCTAGTACTGGGCCAGGCATTCTGCTGCAAACAATCATAAAACTGGACGAAATACATGCAGCAACTACATGCCTTATGTTTTCAGTCATAGCACAACAGGAATGAAAAACTGCAATACTGAGAGAAGTGAAATTCACAAGATGAGCTCCACGATTGCCCTGATGTTTTGCTTAGGGACAAGCTCTCTAACTATGGTGCAGTGAGCTAGAGTCCAAGCAGAGGGGGCCAGTGCCTCTGAGCTGAAGCAGCTAGAATCTGTGGGACAGGGCACAGGAGAAGAGGAAGAAGAGAACGTGGGTGTGGAGATCATAAGTCCTTGGCTGAAAGCTAAGTTGTGAGACTGCATTGGTCTTAAACAGAGAGCACCACTGTGAGGTTGAAAGTGGGACAGGGATACTAGAAGCTGAGCAGTACTGAGGAAGATGGGAGGTCCAGCCCAGCCAGAGTGAGAAGAACTCCTTAACATCCTTTTTTCTACTCTGAGAATTAAGCTAAAATACCAGAAATGCCCTACTTACTCTATATGACCTGCCGAGTAACGTCTACTCAAGACCTACCCAACAAAGCCTAAATCCGAGCCCCGATAAGCTCCTCAGTGAAAAGTTTGGGTGCTGAGGCCCATAAGTTTTATGGGATTGACAAATACCTTAGAGTGTCTGAAGATCTATCATAACAAAGCTTAAAACTAACCCTACACGACCCAGCCAGTGTGGCTCAGTGGATTGAGCTTTGTCCCATGGACTGAGAAGTCCCGGTTTGATTCCCAGTTAGGGCTCGTGCCCGGGTTGCAGGCTGGATCCCCAGTGTAGCCTGATTGATGTTTCTCTCTCACATCAGTGTTTCTATCTCTCTCCTTTCCTTTCTCTCTAAAGATTCAATAAAAATATATATTTTTAAAAACTAACCCTACACAAATTCAAGGTGATTCATCAGTAAGTGAACTGCCAACTAAAACAAAAATCCAATCATGAGTCTCTACAACATATTATCCACAATTCCCAGTACACAGTGAAAAGTTATGAGACATGAAAAGATACAGAGAGTCTTAGCTGGGTGGCTCAGTTGATTGGAGCATCATCTTGTACCAAAACGGTTTCAGGTTTGATTCCCAGTCAGGGTGTATACCTAGGTTGCAGGTTAAATCCTCAACAGTGTGTGTAGAGAGAGCAACTGATCAATGTTTCCCTCTCACATTGACATCTGTCTGTGTATCTCCTTCTCTCTCTCCCTTCCTCTCTCTCTAGAATAAATAAAAACATATCCTTGGGTGACTCACAGTCAGAAGGGAAAAAAGCAACCAATAAAAACTGACCTCAAGATGACCCTGATGTTGAATTTTATAGACAGAGAATTTATAGCAGCTATTATGGGATGGTACAAAAGTAGATTTGCAGTTGTTTGTATGGAAAATAATACAATAATTAATCAATAATAATATAAGAATAAACTCTGTTTTGCATACTCACAACTGTAAACCTACTTTTGCCGCACCTGTGTAAATATATTCAGAGAAGCAAAGAAAACATGGTCTTAATGAGGGAATAGCTAAGGAATCTCAGGAGAGAAAAGGAAATTATAAAAACAAAAACAAATAGAATGCATAACCTATAGACATAGACAACTATGCTGGGGATGGGTCGGGATCAGGAGGAGAGTGTCAGTGGGGGGAAAAGGAGAACCATCTGTAACAAAAATAGATGAATTAATAAAAAAAATCTCAAACATGTATATAATTGCCTAGATATAAAGTCATCCCTCAAATATTTTAAGATTTGTATTAAGAGACCCAGGCTCTCACTAGGCATACTACTCTTGGAGATAAAATGCTATGTGATTTCTTCATTCATTTATTAAACATGTCCAAATGTAAACCAATAAAACATTAGAAATGAAGAAAAAAAGAACCAAATAGAAATTCTAAAACCAAATAGCACAATATTTGGAATGTAATATTCACTGAATGGACTTAATAGCAGTTTGAAGTTGGCTGAGGAAAGGGTCAGTGAACTTGAAGACAGATCAATGGAAATGATCAAATTTGAGAAACTGAGAAAAAAATGAACAAAGCCTCAAACATCTATGGGACAATATCAAATGGCCTAACAAACATGTAATTAGACCCCAAAAGGAGAAGATAGGGAGAATGAAGCAAAATATATATAGTTCCCCAGTGTGATGAAACATTGATGTACAGATCCAAGAATCTAAGCAAACCTCAAGCATGATAAGATCAAAGAAAACCATACCTAAGCACATCTTAGTCAAACTGCGAAAACCAAAAATGAAAAGAATATTTTGATAGCATCCAGGGGAAAAAAGACACATTACAGACAGGGAAATGACAATGCAAATAATGGGCAACTTTTCATCAGAAACAATGGAGGCCAGAAAGCAGAAGAGAAACATAGTTAAAGTGTTCTAATCTTTAAAAGAAAAGAAAACCTGTTAACCCAGAATTCTATATCCAGTGACAATATCCTCCAAACATAAAAAGTGAAATTGACATTTTCAGTGACCAAAAGCTTATATAAAACTAATCTATACAGTAAGTTCTCACTTAACATGGTTGTCAGTAGGTTCTGTGACTCTAAGTGAAACAACATATAATAAAACCACTTTTACCATAGGCTAATTGATATAAACAAGAGTTCAATTACTATGGCATTGGGTTTGGCAATGATTTCTTGGATATGACATCCAAATAATAGGCAACAAAAGAAAAAGACAGATAAATTGGGCTTCATCAAAATTTAAAACTTTCATACATCAAAGGACTTCATTGAGAGAGTAAAAAGATAATTCACAGAACAGGAGAAAATATTTGCAAATCATATATCTGATAAAGGATTAATATCCTCAATGGGTAAAGAATTCCTATAATTCAACAACAAAACACAAATTTTGAAATGGGCAAAGGGCTTGAATAGGCATTTTTCCAAAGAATATCTATAAATGTCAAATAAGAACATGAAAAAAATGTTCAAATTCATTAGTCATTAAGGAAATGCAAATCAAGAGTACAGTGAGATACTACTTCACATCCATCAGGATGGCTATAACAAAAAAAGAAAAGAAAAGAAAAGTTGGTGAGGATGAGGAACCCTCATGTATTGCTGGTGGGAATGTAAAATGATATAGCTGCTTTGGAAAATAGTTTGGCAGTCCCTCAAACAGGTAAACATAGAATTTTCATACAATTAAACAATTCCACTCCTACCCAAAAGAATTGAAAGCAAGGGTTCAAACAAAAACTTACACACCAGTATTCATAGCATTATTCACAATAGCCAAAAGGTTGGAGACAATCCCAATGTCAACCAACAGATGAATGGATAAATAAGATACGGTGAACCATATGCATACAATGGAGTGTTATTCAGCCAGACACAAAAAGACATACATTGTATAATTCTACTTACAGGAGGTAACTAGACTAGGCAAATTCACTGAGACAGAAAGTAGAAAAGAGGTTAGCAGGGATGAGAGAGGGGCGTAAATGGGGAGTAATTGCTTAATGGATACAGAGTTTCTGTTTAGAATAATGAAAAAGTTCCCGAAATAGATAGTGGTGATGGTTGCACAATATTGTAGATATAATTAATAACACCTAACTGTACACTTTAAAAAATAGTTACAATGGCAAATATATATGTAGATAGATAGATAGATGATAGAGAGATAGAGAGATAGAGAGATAGATAGACACACACACCACAATTTAAAAAAAAAAAACTAAAAACAAAGAATTAGTGAGGGGTTGTAATTATAACTCAAAACGTGTTCCATATAAGGTAAATTAGTTTCTTTTTTAAGTAAATATCGTCAATGAGACCTGTAATTGAATGTCTACTGTTACATGTTTACCATCAGTCGCTAAAGGACTCTTTCTGGTAGCAGGGCTTTCGTGCTCCATGCATACCCTTTCCTCTTCCCATTCCCCCCTTCTCTGCCTGCCTTGCTGTGACCACGCAAGGTGAGCGCTCGCGTGGCCCTGCCGGTGTCCGTAAGCTCACGGAGCTGAGTGCGGACCGTGGGTGTGAGGCCCCGGGCAGGAGAGACAGGGCAGCCCACAGCGAGGCCGGCAGTCCAGGCGGATGCGGGCTGAGCTGCCCCCCGGAGGCGCTGCGGACAGGTGCCTGGGCCAGGAGGCCTGTGGAGCCGTCAGCTGTGCAGGTGCACACGAGAGCTCGAGAGGGTGCCCGACTGAGCGTGAAGGTGGCTGACACTTGGGGCGGTTCTAGTGCCTGGGCTGTGGGGTGAGGGAGGCCTGAAAGGGGTGGGGCAGCCATAGCACCCTCCCCTCACTCCTCACCTCTGCCTGACCGCAGGGAGAAGCTCAGGGTGCGCTTGATGCCCTCACAGTTGCCCGGGTCTTCATTGATGATGCCCACGTTGGTGTTCCAGGTGGTCCAGTTCACCTCATCCACCCTGCGGAGTGAGGATGGGGGAGCAGGGAGCTGGCGGCCTCAGAGCCATGGCCAGCTTCCCAGGTCGAGGGCTTGGCCGCACAGGCCAAACCCAAGAAGCCGATAAGTCAGGATGGGGAGACATAGGGCCACCTTTTGGGCACTACCCTGGAGACATGTTCTTGATCTACACCATGGGTCTAGGGACATGAAATATTGGATTCCTGGTTCTGACTCTGATTACCAGGTGACCCCTTCTGGACTCTTCATTTTCCAGTATTTAATGACTGGGTCTCACCAACTGAGACCTAAGGTGGGTCCACTACACCCACAGCTGAGCACTGGGGCAGCCCCTGTACCGCGCTGGCCTTGGGAGAGTCCCTTATGTCCATGGCTGGCCCCAAGAGGCCCCAAGGCAGGCTTCTGTACCCACAGCCATGCCCACACGAAGCCCTAGAATGGCCCCTGCACCCATGGCTGGCCTTGGGAGAGTCCTCAAGTCCATAGGTGAGCCCTGAGGCAAGCCTCGATTCCCACAGCTGGCTCTAGGTGGGTCCCCGATAGCCACAGCTTATCTGAGCTCCCCAGGCTGCGATTCCTGCTTAGGCTTTACCTGAAACACCACCTGTAGTCATCCTTGCCATCAGGTGTGTACCCCACCTGCAGCAGCTTGCCCGAGCGGAAGGCCTTCCTCATGCATTTAAGGAAGCTCTTCTCTGTGTCCAGGATGGTGATGGCTCTCTGCAGGGACACACGAGGCGGAGGGGGAGAGGACTCCTCCAGCGGCCACCCCGGGCTGCCGGTGCTGGCTGCCACATCAGCCTCCCCAGGGTCGCTCCCACGCCCAGCGCCTCGGCAGGACCTGTACCCACTACACCAGGCTTGTTTCCAAAGGCTTGTGATCAGCACTCCACACACAGAGCTCAGCCGCCCAGCCCCAGACTTGCCCGGCTGCTGCTGGAGAGTGGTGAGCCCCACGAGTGACGTGCAGTGGCCCAGCCCCAGCCCCTTCCCGGGGGAGCTCACGAAGGGCAGCATAGTAGTGATTTACAGCAGAGCCTCGTGCGTGGGACTGCTCAGCGCACCCCGGCCTGGGCTGCTTACTAGTTGCCCTGGACGCAAATACCTAACTTCTCTGTGCCTCAGTGCCTTCATCCAAAACATGGGGGTAGTGGTAGTACCCACTCCACAGCACTGTTGTGAGGGTACATGAGAGCAGGTAAGTTCCCCGCTCAGAGTCAGTGCTGCTCACTAAGAATGACGCTGTTATTCGTGGAGAAGGCAAACATGGACCAGGAGTCTCAAAAGTGTAGCTGTTGGGGGCTGCCCCATATTAGCTGCTCCCCCAGAGTCCGATCTCTGGTGTACCCCCTAGACCAAGTTCCCCTGAGACGGGCACCGCAGGGATGGGGCTGAGCTCTCTGTCTCCTTCCCTCGGGGCCACCCAGCCCACAGTAAACACCTTGTCTGTGAACACAGGCTAATGCCACTGGGCAGGGAGACCCTGCGGAGGAGCCAGAAGGACACTGAGGGAAATGCTGCTGCTTGTTCCCGGGGCCTGACTGAGCTTTCTGCCCCCTCCCCAAACCCTGCACGGCCCACGCGCCCCGCTGGGTTAAGCAGCAGACAGCTGCTGAGGCCCTCCTGCTGCACACACCTCCGCAACCGGCCCACCTGCAGCTTCCAGATGTTCTTGCTCTCCTGCGCGATCTTGTTGACAGTCTCGCCCATGAGGGCGATGAGCATGTTGAGCAGGAGGATGTAAGTGAGAATCACGTAGGCCAGCAACAGGATGATGAAGACAGCTTTGAAGTCATAGTTCTCGGTGAACTCCAAGTCACCCATTCCGATGGTGAACTTGAACAGCTCCAGACACGTGGAATACAGGCTGTTGTAGGAGTTGTCAGACATCCGGCAGCCACACCCCCGCCACTTGTGTGACGTGGCCTCAGCCGACACAGAGTTGTTCTTTCCGTCCTCAATCAGTGTCACCACCGCTAAGGGACACGAGGATGGAGAGGTGCAGCTGGATGAAGCCAAGACCCCAGGCACCCCGACATACACACTCCTACCCCAGGCTGGGTCTGCAGCAGGAACACCATCTGGCTATACAGCACACCTCACCCCCCCCCCTTTTTTTTAAATCCTCACTCGAGGATATTTTTCCATTAACTTTTAGATAGAGTGGAAAGGGGGGGCAGCATAGATGTGAGAGAGACACATCAACTGGTTGCCTTTTGCATGACCCCAACCAGGGCCAGGGATTGAACCTGCAACTCAGGTACGCACCCTTGACCAGGAATCAAACCCACAACACTTGAGTCCATGGGCCGCCACTCTCACCACTGAGCAACTGGCCAGGGCTGCAGCACAACTTTGTGTAAATTCTTTTTTAAGCACCCCCTTCTTCAAAACTATCAGAAATCTGTCATAATTTACTATTTTGTTACAATAAGAACTTTATTGCCCTGGCGGGGTAGCTCAGTTGGTAAGAGCATTGTCCTGATATGCCAAGGTTTCAGGTTCGATTCCTGGTCAGGGCACATACAAGAATCAACCAATGAATGCATAAATAAGTGGAACAACACATCGATGTTTCTCTCTCTCTCCCTTCCTCTTTCACCCTAAAATCAATCAATAAAAAAAAATTTTTAAAAACGTTATCAGCTGCTATGAAAAATAATTGTTAACATAAATATGTCAATCTAGATGTACAATGTAAATTCAGCCAGCGCTGTGCGGCACACAACCTGCCTACCCTTCCACGTCAGCCCTGGACCCACACCCACCTTCTCCGTCACACCCGACCCACCCGTGCCTCTCAGAGGGCGGGCCAGAGCCAGCCGGGGCCAGAACCACGGGGGCGAAGCAGGTGCACTCTGCCCTCTTCGGTGAGAGAGGGAGTCCGAGCTGGAGAGCGTCTGCACCAGCTGTGCCCGTGGTTACTGCGTAACCGGTATCAAACCCGCTTGGCCTAATCCCTGCCTGTGGCTACTGACCAGGGGCCAGAGCCCGTACCAGACCCTGTCCGTCCGGGCACCTAGTTAAAGCTGCTCATGACCCCCAAAGATTTCAAAATGGACTGCAGGGCAGAGACAGCTACATGTGAGCCATGTACATGCAGGATTCAGATGAGGGTCCAAGCACAGCCGGGTGTTCAAAGATCATGCGGATGTGTCCAAAGGGCACAGGAACCAGCTTGAAGAGGTTCCCAATGACGACTACGCAGACCACTGAACATCAAAATAGATGGCAATAGTAAGGAGTTATAACCCATTTTAAAAAGCGAGACTCCATAAAGTAAAATAAAATAAAATAAAAATCTACGATAAGCTATGTTTATGTAAATAATTAATAAATGACCCTAGAATGTCAGCAAATAAATGCAAAGGGAAGATGGAGTTCAAAAAGCATTATTTGATCATCATCGAGATGAGGTGATTCAGGTGTGGATAAATCAATGGATGCTAAAACAGGTGGGTGAAATTTTGATGAGAAACAGGATATTTACCCAGCCTCAGAGCATCTCCTCACAAAGCCAATCACAAAGGGAAAGATAACAACTTGACAGCGGAGGAGTCTGGCAGACACAGCAAAACAAAACAACCAAGGTCAGCATCACCAGACGCAGTGGGTCTCCTGGTATAAAGCAGAGGAAGATGGACCACTTCCTTGATCCTCTGACCAAGACTGCATACCTGGATCTGACCGTGAGGAACACCAGACGGACCCAAACTGAGAGACATTGTAAAAACTGGCCCTTACTCATTAAGAATGCTAAGGTCACGCCCTGGCCGGGTTGGCTCAGCGCTTAGAGAGTTGGCCCTCGGACCAAAGAGTCGTGGGTTCGATTCCCGTCAAGGGCACGTGCCTCGGCTGCAGTTCGTCCCCGGCCCTGGTTGGGCTCGTGTGGGAGGCAACCACTCGATGTTTCTTTCTGAATCTCCCCATCTCTTCCTCTCTCTCCCTCCCTCCCACTCTGTCTGAAGATAAATGGAAAAATATCCTCCGTGAGGATTAAAAAGAAAAGAAAAGAAAGAATGCTAAGGTCACAAAAGACAAGGGAAGCTGGAGGAAACGCTGTGGATTGCAGGGGACATGAGAGCTGAATGGAATGCCGGCATGGGGTGTTCATTTCTTCATTATTTGGGCAATTGGTGAAATCTGAATAAGGTTGGTGGATTAGGAGTAATACTGTAGCAATGTTAATTTCCTGAGTTTGATCATTATGCTATGTTTATAGCAGAGAATGTCCTGGTTTGTTTTTTGGTTTTTTTGAAATACTAAATATTTAGAAAATATTCAGTGGGAAAGGCTGATCATGTCTGATCACAAAAATCTTACTCTCAGTTTTTTTTAAGTGGTGTGTGTATGTGTGTGTAGCCAGGAAAAAAAGTGATAAAAAAAAAAAAGTGGTAAATTTGGGGGAATCTGGATAAAGAGTGTAGAGAGTTATTTGCACTATTCTTGCAACTTTTTTAAGTCTAAAATAATGTCAAAATAAAAAGCTTTTTAAAAACTTAGCCAAGCCCTGGACGGTTTGGCTCAGCGGTTGGAGCATTGGCCTGCAGACCAGAGTCCCAGGTTCGGTTCCCGCTAGGGGCACGTACCAAAAAATAAATACATAAATAAAAACGTAGCAAAAATGCTGCTATCCGCCCTGGCCGGTTTGGCTCAGCGGTTAGAGTGTCGGCCTGCGGTCCTGAGAGACCCGGGTTCGGTTCCCGCTAAGGCGCGTACCTCGGTTGCAGTTTGTCCCCGGCCCTGGTCGGTTGTGCGGGTGGCAGCCACTCGATGTGTTCCTTTCACATCGATGTTTCTCTCTCTCTCTCTTCCTCTCTCTCCCTCCCACTCTACCTGAACAAAAAATGGAAAAATGTCCTCGGGTGAGGATAAAAAAAAAAATAAAAAATGCTGCTATCCTACAGGCAAGTAGTACTTGCTACCTCAAAATTACTTGACACATTTTATGAATAACATTTCCAGGTGCTCCTGCTCATTTTGGTGTGTTCTTTGTCCATCCACTCTGTCATCTGCAGACACACACCCCACAGGGCCCCTCCTCGCCCAGCCCCTGCAGAGTTCTCAGGGAGCCGAGGTGAGCAGGAGCCCTTCCCCCTCCCAGCCCTGACCAAGCCTGTTACCTGTGGAAAACCCGAACAAGAATATGAGGTAGACAAACATGAAGCGGCACAGGTCTCTCAGGATCATCTGCAGGAGAGAGCAGGTTTGTCAGAAGCAAGTGCAGGCCCGGGCAGGGCCGAGGGCAGGGCCGGGCTGGGTCGGCCTGGGGGTCAGTGTCGAGCCCCAGTGGAATGGACCACTGGTTTGGTGGGTTGTGGCTCAGCTGTCATGAAGAAGTCATTCACAGCCCCGCCATGGCCTTTCTTCTGGTGGGAGAGGGGGAGCCTGGTAGGCAGGGGGGCATCGAGTTTTGGGGAAGCCCCCAAATCTAGGTCAAATCCAGATTGCCTGATTTGGGGGGTAATTAGCTGGGAAAGGGGGTCATCAGCCAAGCCAGCACCTCCTCACACAACACAGGAAGGATGGATAACGTTTGTGGGACTGGGCCCCACGTGCCCAGGAGGAAAACAAGCTCTGGGGAGAACCCCTCGGGCCCTGGCACGCACCTTCTCGATCATGACGGCATAGATGCCCATCTGCTGGAAGCCACGGGTGTAGTAGAGCATGTTGGTCCAGCCCATGGCCAAGGAGAACACCATGGAGGCCACGTACTCCTTGCGGTGGCAGAAGTACAGCACCACGGTCCCCAGCATGAACAGTGACTGCACAAAGCTGAGGGGAAGCCACAGGAAGCTCTGTCTAAGGGCACTGAGGGGGCCTGGCACCCCCACAGGCTGGGAGACCCCAGCTGTCTGGCCCTCTCCTCAGAAGCACATGCCACAGGCTGGCTGTCCTGCCTCCTTTAGCCCGTGATTCTCAGTGGGAGCAATACTGCCCCCTCGTGGGGGCAAAGGTTGGCTTGCGGGGGGGAGTGTGAAATCTTATGCTTTTTATACATAAAGCACAGATCTAAATACAGTACATAAAGAGCTCTACAGTATATATGTGGTATTAAAATTTTATGGTAGGGGCAATTGGAAAAAAGTTACCTAAAAAGGCTGAGAACCACTGCTTTGGCCCCAACAACTTTCCTGCCCAGTCCCCAGGAAAACAGCCTCGTGGACAACAGCGAACCTAGGAGGGTCCCAGGCCCATGAGGAGGGACAGGCCATGCTCTTCCTGGCCCCAGGTAGCGTCTGGTGGTCACACTCTCAAACACAGGAGCAGGGCCAGGGAAAACGTCCCTCACCCCCTTAGTCCTGTGGGGGTGCCCAAGTCGGGGCCCTGGACAGGGTGGAGGACACCTGGATGATTCTACAACAGGGTCTGCTCCGTGGTCCTTTCTTTACTTATTTGTCCCAGGCTTTCTTGCTCATCATGACCTCCTCCTGAGCGTCCCCCCAGCTGTATTAACACTGTAGACCACAACCACCACCTCGCCTTGCATCTGTGTGAGAGAATCCAGCAAAAAGAGCTGCCACTGTGCTGTGAGTCTGTTAAAAACAGATGTCAATAAACAGCTTCACAGACTGAAGTTCTGCTGAAAAGAAAAACCTCTACATTTTCCAGAGGCCCAAGTAAGAACTGAGGCCAGTTGAAATAGGTAAAGGGCTGCCTTGGGTGGCAGATAGAGTCCCCGTATGTGAATTTTGGAAGCTGGGAAGCAGTGGACAAGGGGAAACTCACTTAGCAGACCCAAGAAAGCCGAATCTGAATCATTGTGGGGAACGCTGAGAACCAACTCTTTTAATCAAGGAGCCTCAAAAGGCTTAGGGACCTCTTGAGGGAAGGAGACCAGAGACCTCAAATGAGAAAGAGTGAAGGCTTTGTCACCAAAGAGGAGGTTTTTGGACCCAGTTTCATCAAATACCAGTGAAAGCATTGGAATTTTACCAAAAACAGATTGTGACTACAGAAAGCCCTCTTCTGCACTCGGTTCCGAAAGCCGGCGGCCAGACTTCTTCCCTCCAGGTCAAAGACTGAAAAGATGCCATAGACTGACAGTGGATCTTCTCCAATAAATGGTTTATCTAGATCAGCTTATCGTGAAGCTCAAGATGGATAAGCCCTATTCACACATTTAGAGCTTCCAAACAGCTTTTAGTCCTTCACTCTTACTCACGAGCAGACATCAAAGATTTCCAGACGTCCTGAGGACAGGCTCTAACATGAAACAGAGAACAAGACAACTATATAGCCTAAGAGAGACAAAAGAAGATATTGCATCCATAAAATAAGGATAGAGTGCTGTGCTGGCCAGCGTGACTCAGTGGATTGAGCGTCATCCCATGGACTGAGAGGTACGGGTTTGATTCCTGATCAGGGCACATGCCCGGGTTTGCAGGCTCGATCCCCGGTAGCAGGTGTGCAGGAGGCAGCTGATTGATGTTTCTCTCTCACATCAATGTTTCTATCTCTCTCTCTAAAAAACAAAAAATCAATAAAAACATGTTGTTAAAAACAGAATAGAGCCTGGGCAGTGTGGCTCAGTGGTTGAGCATCGACCCATGCTCCAAGAGGTCACTGGTTCAATTCCCGATCAGGACACATGCCCAGGTTGTGGACCTGATCCCCAGTGGGGAGCAAGCAGGAGGCGACCAGTCAATGTTCCTTCTCTCTCTCTCTCCCTCTCCCTTCCTCTCTCTCTCTAATACCAATAAAGAAAAAATTAAAATTAAAAATAATAATAATAATAGAATTTTAGAAGAATAGAATGTAAATAAAGAACAAGCTGAATTTTTTTAAAGAGTGGTTGGAAATGTAAAACATGATTTCAAAAATAATAAACTCAAAAGAACGGTTGGCAATTAAAGTTGATTTGAACTTCCCAGAAAGAAGAATCAAAGATAAAGAGATAGAACATAAGTGAGAAAATATAAGAACTAGTTCAGGACTAGATCAGGAGGCCTATATATATCAAAGAAGTTCCAAAAGAGAGATCAAGAAATAATTCAAGAAAATAGTCCAAAAAGTAAAGGACAGTCCAGCCAGTGGTTGAGCATCGACCCATGCACCAAGAGGTCACAGGTTCTATTCCCGATCAGGATGCATGCCCAGGTTGTGGGCCAAATCCTCAGTGGGGGGCATGTAGGAAGCAGCCAATCGATGTTCTCTCTCATTGATGTTTCCATCTCTCTCTCTCCCTCTCACTCCAAAATCAATAAAGGAAAAAAAGTTTTTTAAACAAAGGACATAAATTTCCAGATTGAAAGAACCTACCAAATGCCCAGAACATTGGATTAAAACAAATTTAAATTACAACACAAGTTTCAAAGCCATAATGGGGAAAAGGAAAAGAAGATACTATAGATTTACAAAGAGAAAAACCACAACAGGTCTTAAAAGAGGATCCAGAATCTGAATGGCTCTAGGCTTGTCATCTATAAAACTGGAAGCAAGGAAACAATGGAGAAATACCTTCAAATGTTTCAAAGAATTTTACACCCAACCAAACTATCCATCAAATATGAAGGTATAGTACAAATATTTTAGCCCTGGCCGGTTTGGCTCAGCAGTTAGAGCGTTGGCCTGCGGACCGGAGAGTCCCAGGTTCGGTTCCCGCTGAGGGCACATACCTCCATTGCAGTTTGTCCCCGCCCCAGTTGGGTTGTGTGAGTGGCAAGCACTTGATATGTCTCTCTCACATCAATATTTCTCTCTCTCTCCCTTCCTCTCTCCTTACCGCTCTATCTGAAGATAAATGCAAAAAAAAAAAAAATGTCCTCGGGTGAGGATCAAATTATATATATATTTTTTCAGATGTGCCAGATTTAGAAGAAACTTGACTTGCCCCTTCCCCACTATGTGGCTTCTTTCTTCAGTTGAGAATGTCCTCTCCCAAAATGAAAAAGTAAATCAGGAAAGAGGAAGATATAGTGTTCAAAAAATAAGAAATACAACCCAGTGGAGAGGCAAGAAGGACCTCCAAGGTGCAAGGGAACACGGGAAGTACCTTGGGAGCAATGTATGCAAAAATCAGGTACTGTGCTCTCTACCATTATTCCAACTTTTTCACCAGATGAAAATACTGAAGGATGTGCTCGAATAAAACAAGGAGGACAATCAAGAAAGGCAGGAACTCTAACCCGGGAAGAAAGTAATGAGAATTCTAAGGCTGGCAGCAAACAGAAGTCCCAGGATCACAGCTAAGCAGCCGGCCCAGCGAACAGCCAGCCCAGTTAGAAAGACAGGACAGCACTTCAGGCAAAATCCCTCAAGGGAAATAAAACCAGGGAGCTGATCATAAAAATTGATGTCACTGATTTTGAGGAAAAGTGTATTGAGAGGCTTTGAGATGTGTGAGAAGAATTAGCCATAAGTACAAAGAAAACTAAACGAATAAAAACAAGGTTATTATTTACTTTAGGTGAGACAGAAAGAAAGTACATATTATAGTATATTGTGAAGCTCAACTGCAAATAGCAGTTGCAGAGACCTAAGACTATAAAGACTGAATACTGATTAAAACAAAAATGACTACAAACCACATTGGATGGCTAGAGGAGGGGAAGAAAAAGAGAAGGCAGTATAAGGATGCTATATCCCCGTCTACCAGATGCATAAATATCAGAAGAAAGAGCTACAAGAATGGAAGCTGATTGTTCCTGGGGAGGTGGATTGCAGGCAATGGGAAGAGTTGGGACAGGGAACTCATATACTGGCTATAAGCTTTTCAGCACTCCTCACATTTTTACCTATGTACATGGGTAGCTTTGGGAAATTAAATTTTTTAAAAAATTTAACGTGCCCACAATGGATCTTCCCAGGACTAGAATCAAGTTTACCGCTATAACGTTATGTGGAAGAACATTACCTCTCTTAGTAAAACAAATCAGCATTGTGCGAACCCTATAGACCCTGCCCTTGAATCTGCCCTTTGGGACTAAAGTGTAAGCGTCTCAAGATTATAGGAAAAGGATAGGGTTTGTGAGTCCGAGGGACAAGCCAGCTGCAATAGGGTGAGAAATCAACTCCTTGCACTTGCCAGGAATAAAGGGAGAGGGCCCAGAAGCGAGGGGGACCTGGGGATCCGAGCACAGGCCATGAGTTGAGGCCCCAGGAGAAGAACCCTTTGCTAACTGAAAGCCCCCTTTGTATCCTGGGCCTTCTAAGAGAACCTCACAAGGTTCTGGCTTATTTAGGAAGAAAGGAGGTTCCCTGTGACACCCACATTGTTTTTATAACTGTTCTATTCATCTGTCTTCCCCTAAAGCAGTGATTCTCAATCCCCCCACCCAAGTAGGGACATTTGGCAGTATCTGAAGACATTTTTGATTGTCAAAAGTGGGGGACAGGAAAAGAGCTTCTGGCATCCAGTGGGCAGAGGCCAGGAACGGTGCACAGGACAGCCCCACAACAGAGAACTGTCCAGCCCTAAATGTCCATACTGCCCAGGTTAAGAAACTCAGCCTTAAAGATCGGAAATTCCATGAAGGCAGGAACCATGTCTATTTTATCTTGATATTCCAGGGCCAACTGAGTGAATGCCGGACAAAAGGATAGAAAAAATGAACAAGGGGTACATCTAATTTGGACTATAAACCACATGAGCCATGAAACGGGTCTAGAATTCCCTAGCACCTGGTTCAGACCTGGCGCAGAGCGGACCCTCGGGATCCGTTCACCCCCGCGATGTTTACCGAGCGCGTTCCATCATTCACACCTTGTGAGGTCCTCCTATGTTCCAGGCTGAGTGTATGTGAGAGAATGAGTGAGAGCTGATTGCTATAACCTCAGGCCTGGGCCCGAGGAGGTTGTCTGCTACTGAGGCATTAGAGCCAAAGGGTCACTTACAAAAGCATCTCACTGTAGCTGTCCACAAACAAGGACTTCAGGGACGGCTGCCTCTGCAGGAAATACTGAATCTGCAGGTAAATAGACAGAAATATCCCAGGGAAGGTTAGATGTGGCTCGGTGGTGAGTGCCCAGATGCTTCTACTGTGGACACGGGAATGTGTCAAAGCAGAGATTACGAAGGGAGTAGAAGCGCAGGGGTCAGCCTCATGGGGGTGTCACATGACTTGGTCTGGAGAGACTTTTACAGACAGAGTTGCAATGACAACTATACCGAAAGGCAGGAAAGGCAGGAAGAACCACCGCCAAACATTATCAGCTGCTGTGCTTGAATGACAGGGCTGGGCAATCTTTTTCTTCTTTCTAATTTGTGTTTTTTTTCCACTTTTCTTCAAGTACGTATTACAGTAAACATTTTTCCATCAGGTTAACCAGTGCTCTCCACCCTGAGAATATTCTGACTGGTGCCCATGGCCCTGCTGAATGCTGGCGGCTGGGAGATCCTCTCCAGGACCCCCCCATGCTCCCCTAGCCTCCCACCTGTTGATCTGCTTGCCACAAGTGCTGTTGGCCTATTGCACGTACTACTGTGGCTTTGTCTTTACTGTCATATAAACTATGAGTGCGAAAATAAAGACAGTTGTTTCTATGAAGATGGAGTCCAATGATTTGGAAAGACTCTTTGAAAGTAAGTTACTATGTCCTGGCCAGTTTGGCTCAGCAGTTAGAGCATTGGCCCACAGACCAGAGAGTTCGGTTCCCCCTAAGGGCACGTACTTTGGTTGCAGTTTGTCCCCAGCCCTGGTTGGGGTCATGTGGGTGGCAACCACTCGATGTGTCTCTCTCACATCCATGTCTCTCTCTCTCTCTCTCTTCCTCCCTCTCTCCCTCCTGCTCCATCTCAAGATAAAATGCAAAAATGTCCTCGGGTAAGGATAAGAACAAAACAAAACAAAAAAGAAAGTTACTATGTCCTGACCGGTTTGGCTCAGCAGTTAGAGTGTTGGCCCGTGAACCGATGAGTCGGGGGTTCGATTCTGGTCAAGGGCACATACCTCAGTTGTGGTTGGTCCCCTGCCCTGGTCAGGTCGTGCGGGAGGCAACCAGTCAATGTGTCTCTATCACGTCGATGTTTCTCTCTGTTTCTCTCTCTCTCCCTCCCTCCCACTCTATCTAATGATAAATAGAAAAATATCCTCAGGTGAGAAATAAAAAATAAATAAAAAGTGAGTTACTAGCCCGGCCCATGTGGCTCAGTGGTTGAGCATCGACCCATGCACCAAGAGGTCACAGGTTCAAATCCCGATCAGGGCACATGTCCAGGTTATGGGCCCGATCCCCAGTGGGGGAGCATGCAGGAGGCGGCCAATCGATGTTCTCTCTCATTGATGTTTCTATCTCTCTCTCTCTCCCTCTCTCTTCCTCTCACTCTAAAACCAATAAAGAAAAAAAAATTTTTTTTAAAGTAAGTTACTAAAAAAAAATTGAATGGCCCTGGCCGGTTTGGCTCAGCAGTTAGAGAGTCCGCCTGCGGTCCAGAGAGACCCGGGTTCGGTTCCCGCTAAGGGCATGTACCTCGGTTGCAGTTTGTCCCCGGCCCTGGTTGGTCGTGCGGGTGGCAGCCACTCGATGTGTCCCTTCACATCGATGTTTCCCTCTCTCTCTCTCCCTCCCACTCTATCTGTACAAAAAAATGGAAAAATGTCCTCGGGTGAGGATTAAAAAAAAAAAAAAAAATTGAATGTAGCTTAGATCAAGGGAAAAAATTACAATATATCAAATTATTTGTGCATGTAACAGTGATCCCACAGTCAAAGAAAAGGCTGCTCATATATTCAAAGACTGACCAAGGAATATGCAGCTGTGCATTTTCAGTTCAAATAAAATGGTTCCCGTATCCAGGTAGATTTCTTCTATTATTCTGAGCTTGAATGGACTGTTTGGATTAATTAAACAATGACCAGCCATGATCCTACCTCTTAGGAGGCTTCCCTATACTTCTGTAATTAAAGATTACATCCGGTGGAGATCCCTGACTGTCTGTCTTTCGGAATGATGGCCTGCGGGGGCCCACTGGGCAGACACCCACCCTCCTCTTATCTTCACCTACGCATCTCTCAGTTCCTCAGGGGGGGCCATGAGCTGTCCCATGAATTAAACAGTGAGTGAGCACTGAGTGACTCTCCTGGCTTTTTGTTTTGGTGACAATGGAAATTCAATGTGGAAAAGAATGCTTACCCCTCGGAAAAAAAAGTAGATTCCCCCTGATACAGAAAGAATTTCTCCCATGACTCGGAAATAGTTGCCGACGGTGTACTGCAGCTTATAGGGGGGCTGCAAGGTGCAGAGAAGTTAGTGACTCTGTTCATTCACTCTTCATTCAACCATTCATTCGACAAACATTTGCCAGGTGCCAAGCTCTGTGATTCAGACCCAGCCTCTGCCCGAGAGGCTCAGCCTCCATCAGAAGAGAGACACACATAAAAACAATGCGCTATTATGAGGACACCCATGTGGACGCTCCTCTGTGGGGCCTGATTCCCCAAGGGGCGGCCTCCAGGTGCCCAGCAGAGCATCCTTCCAGTGTTGTGCTTTCTCTTGGACAAGTCCCAGCCCTGAGTTCCGCTGGGAGGGGGTGATGGCGTAGGTGGAGGCACCCTTACAGACCCAACGCCACACGCTCCCCAAGGCTTACAGTGAACCCCGGTCTCCCAGGCCGGTCAAGGTTTCTTGTGGATGGTGGAGAGAGAGACGTCCTTGTGTCTCAGCCACCACTTCCCGACGTGGTTTCCTTCTAGCCTCCCACAGATGCTTCCTCAGCACTAGTTCACTAGCCTATCTTTTTACCACGTATCTCTTTTCTCTTGGAATGAAGTCATTAAATGGTCTGAATAGGTAGACAGAGGTCAGGTTTACCTAACTAGAAAGCTGAGTGTATAAATCAAATTTACAAGCAAGGCACCCTGGAAATAGAAGCAACAAAATTAAGTGTTTAAGTACTAAATGGAAAGGACTTCATTCGGAAACTCCAGGGAGTCTACGTTTCCCACAAGAGGAAAAGCATCTGGTCTTAAGCTGACTGGATGGATGGTCCAGAGCCTGCAAAGAAGAAGTGCTCAGGTGTGTGTCCAGGGAATGACTAACGAGCGAGGAGTGAACAAAGTGGGCAGGTGAGCAGGATGGCAGTGGGCTTAGGGCTCGTGCCATCCCATGACGCTGCGGACACCAGCCGAGGGGAGAGCTGCGTCCTGAGCCCTGGCTCCTGTCTGTCCCAGTGCAATCAGGGACCTCAGCCTCGCGGACCAGGAGGCTCAGGGAGCAGCTGAGAACAGGGGAGAGGACAGGTTTCCGGAACAGCCCGGGAGAGCAGGGAGGGAGTCCAGGGCCCAGCCTGGGCCTCAGGTCTTGGGGGAAAGCCCACCCCACCCCAGCCCCACCAAGCCCGAGCCTCAGGCCGCACCAAGCCGTCCACAGGCCTGTAGTAGGCGACCGTGGTGAAGATGATCATATACAGGCAGTAGACGAAGAAGTTGAAGTAGAAGATGCGCTTGACAAATCTGTCCCACTTGTCCTGCAGGAGTCGGTTCAGCGGCTCCACCAAGAGCATATCGTGGCGATTCTGAGGGGAGCAGAGAGGAGAGGCTCACACCCGCACCAGGAACCACCCAGCCGTCCTCAGCCCGAGGCCTCCTCACACCCCCGCCTCTGCGCAGGACGGGTCCCAGGTCTGAGCCGGCAGGCCCACCCTCTGCTGCTCCTGGGCAGCACTGAACGAGTATAGTGAACGAGGGGTGAAGCTGGACAAGTGGCCCTAAGTGCCCCTGACACTTAAGAACTAACAGGTGTTGCCCGACATCCAATGCCCATTTCCTCGAGTACCTCACTCATCCTTGTTGTTCCCAGATCATGGGAAGAGGCTGGCCCAGGCAGTCTGGCATGAAGCTGCTCGCTGGGGGCTGAGGGCAGGTAGGAAGAGGCCTCTGGGTTCCTTATTTCTCACATGTCCAGCCCTGGTCAGTCTCCAGCCACTGGAGACTGAAGGCAACTACAAAGCCTTTCCTGCGGTGGGAGGGGCTGTGCCTGGGATACCATCATTACGTGTGCTTTGGGACAAAAGTCTGGTATCCAGGACACCTCTGTTGAAGTTCAAGTATCCCTGGGATGGATGAGCCCAAACCAGGGCATGCTATCCTTTCCAAGCTGTCAAGCCCAAACCCAGCCCAAACTTGAGCTCCCCTAACGAGATCCCTGTTCAGCGTCTTCTTGAATACCTTTGGGGATGGGAAGCTCCCTGCTGCCTCAAGCAGCCCGTAGAGAAACACTAACTTTTGGGAAGATCTATCTCTGGAATAAAGTTTGTCTTCTCTGCTTTCCACCCGTGATCCAGCTCCGCCCTCCGGGCCCAGCACTGCACTCCCGGCCCGAGAGCCTCTGGAGACATGAGATGGCAGCCATGGCACCTGACCCCCTCTTCTCTGAGTCAAACACCCCTGTCCTCCAGGTTCCACGTGGCAGCCGGATGGGAGCCGACAGGTCAGGCTGCCCCTCCCCTGGACCCGCCCCTGTACACACAGCCTCTCTTCACTGTGAGACACCGGGCAGCCGCTTTATCACCAACAGCAGAGACCCCAGCCCCGGGCCAGCCTCGGGGCACCTTAGGAAGAACAGACAGGGAAAGTGGCCTTCTCAAAGTAGTGGTGTCACTGAGACCCGCGTTTGGAAACCAAATAATTAAGATGCCCACCTACACAAAAGTGAATTCTAGATAAATTAAGGAGACAAACATAAAATACCTACAAAGGAGCTCAAGGAAAATATTGAAAGGTATGTGTGTAATCTTGAAGTGGAAAAACCCCTCCAAAGCAAGACAAAATCACAGAAGTTTTTTTTTTTTTTTAAGTTTGGTCCGGTTGGTGTGGCCCAGTGGATTAAGCATTGTCCCTTGGACTGAGAAGTCCCAGTTCGATTCCCGGTCAGGGCACATGCCTGGGTTGTGGGCTGGATCCCCATTAAGGGGGCGTGCAGGAGGCAGCTGACCCATGTTTCTCTCTCACATGGATGTTTCTCTCTCTCTCTCTCTCTCTCTCTCTCTCTTCCTCTCTCTCTAAAAAATCAATAAAAACATTAAATAAAATAAAAACACATTTTAAAAAAGGTTTGGGTGGTGAACATACAATACAATAGGCAGATGATGTATTATAGACTTGTATACCTGAAACCTATATAATTTTATTAACCAATGTCACCCCAATACATTCAACTAAAATAAGACATCAATGAGATAGCATTTTTGGTTCCATGGACTTAAAGTAGTTTTAAAAAATAAAGAGATTGATAACACCTAGGTTGGCAAAGCCAAGGGTAGCTGTGTACCCACTGGTGGTGGGCAAATGCATCAACAAAGTCTTTTTGGAGGACAATTTGGCAGTAGCTATTAAAATATTAAAGTGCCCAACCAGTGTGGCTCAGTAAATTGAGCGTCATCCCATGGACTGAGAGGTCCCGGTTCAGTTCCGAGTCAGGGCACATGCCGGGGTTTCAGGCTCCATCCCCGGTTGGGGTGTGCAGGAGGCAGCCAATCAATGTGTCTCTCTCATATCCATGTTTCTATCTCTCTAAATATTCAATAAAAACAGCCTGGCTGGTGTGGCTCAGTGGATTTCTGGTCAGGGCACATGCCCAGGTTCTGGGCCAAATCCCCAGTGGGGGCGTGCAGGAGGCGGCCAGTTGATGTTCTCTCTCATCGATGTTTCTCTCTCTCTCTCCTTCTCCCTTCCTCTCTCTCTAAAATCAATAAAGAAAAAAAATTAATTTAAAAAATCGATAAAAACATATTTTAAAAAAGAAATTTACAAAAATGTACATACTTTTAGACTTGGCAATTCCAGTTCCAGATACCCTTCACAGAAGAGATCACAAATCCACGCCACGTGGCCTGTAGCATCGTAGTAGCAAAAACTGGAAATAATTCAAATGTCCTCCTATGGACATTTTCTCCCCAGCCCTACTGTGCAATGCTATGCAGCACTGCATTTTATTTATTTTATTTTATTATTTTATTTATTTATTTATTTTATTTTTTTATCCTCACCCGAGGACATTTTTGATACTTTGTTCAGATAGAATGGGAGGGAGAGAGAGAGAGAGAAACATTGACGTGAAAGGGACACATCGAGTGGTTGCCACCCACATGACCAGTCAGGGCTGGGGACAAACTGCAACCGCGGTACGTGCCCTTAGCAGGAACCGAACCCGGGTCTCTCCAGACCGTAGGCCAACACTCTAACCACTTAGCAACCGGCCAGGGCTATTTTATTTATTTTTTAATCCTCACCCGAGAACATTTTTGCATTTATCTTCAGATACAGCAGGAGGGAGAGAGGGAGGAAGAGAGAGAGAAACATCGATGTGAGAGAGACACATCGACTGGTGGCCACCCACACGACCCCAAACGGGGCCAAGGACAATCTGCAACCGAGGTACGTGCCCTTAGCGGGAACCGAACCTGGAACTCTCTGGACCACGGGCCAATGCTCTAACCGCTGAGCCAAACCGGCCAGGGCAGCAGCACTGCATTTTAAACGAGGCAGACCCATAGGTACTGATATAAAACTGTCTACATGACACATCCTTAAGTGAAAAAAATTGGTTGTTCTACATTATGTATAGTATGACCCCACTTGTGTAAACCAAATGAAGTGACATGTTTTTATACAGATAAAGGGAGGATTCTTTCTATCTATGTACTTCTGATTTAATGTTCTATGAGAACATCATTCTGTATTGTTTGTATGATGAAGGAAAACATTCAGGGGGAATGAATGGGTTGATGAGGCTGCAGGACCTAGACCCTGGGCGGCAGGTTTTCATTGACGACTTGGACCAGGGGCAGGGTGGGATGGGGTGTGGTGAGACCCAAAGCCCTCCCTGGGTCCCAGCCAGGCCCACTCACAGGGGTCTCACTGCTGCTGTAGGCGATCACCTCCAGCACGGAGTTCTTCTCGCAGGTGTCGATGCAGGACAGGTCGTAGAGCGAGGAGTGCACGGGCCCGTAGGCCCACTCTGTGAACTTCCTCGACAGGTGCCTGCACTCGGGCTCCTGGATCTCCCTCTGGAGAATATAGGCCAGGACCTGTCATGGGACACAAGAGCCCGTAGAGACCAGCCTGGAGCCCCGCCACAGGCTGTGTCCCCACTGGGCCACCAGCGCTGCTTCAGAAATTATTCTGCTTCCCAGCGCAGTTGGAGACCCCACCCAAGCACCTTACTCCATCCAGCAGCCTCTTGACCACCATCCAGGTCAACATGCCACTGCCTCAGGCCCCAGCTGCAGCCACATCGGACCCATCAAGTGATCACAGCTGGCTGATCACATCCATCTCACCCTAGGCTCAACCCACCCTATCCCCAGGTCCCAGCATCCCAGTCCCTCCCTGAGTCTTGTTGGTGATGCTCAGAGTTAGAAATCAGAAATGGAGCCCTGGCTGGTTTGGCTCAGCGGTTAGAGCGTCGGCCTGTGGTCTGGAGAGACCCGGGTTCGGTTCCCACTAAGGGCACGTACCTCGGTTGCAGTTTGTCCCCGGCCCTGGTTGGTTCATGCAGGTGGCAACCACTCGATGTGTCTCTTTCTCATCGATGTTTCTCTCTCTCTCTCTCTCTCTCTCTCTCTCTCTCCCTCCCTCCCACTCTATCTGAACAAAATATGGAAAAATGTCCTCGGGTGAGGATTAAAAAATAATAATAAAATAAAATAATAAATTTTAAAAAAAGAAATCAGAAATGGTGCCCTGGCCAGTGTGTCTCAGTTGGTTGGAGCGTCATCCCATACAATGAAAGGCTGAGGGTTCGATTTTCAGTCAGTGGCACATACTTAGGTTGCGGGCTCCATCCCTGGTTGGGGTAAGTACAGAAGATACTGAATGATGTTTCTCTCTCTCTCTCCCCCTGTTTCCCTCTCTAAAAGATCAATAAAAAATGTCCTTGGGTGAGGATTAAAAAAAAGAGAAATGGTCACCTGTGGACTTGGGGTGGTGAACACACAATAGAACGTGCAGGTGATGTGTTATAGAAGTGTAAGCTGAAACCTATATAATTTTATTAACCAATGTCACCCAAAAAAATTCAATAAAAAAGTAAATAAAAATAAAGTTCACAAGAGCCAACCATTTAAATAAAAGTATCCTTGCCCTGGCTGGTTTGGCTCAGCAGTTAAGAGTGTTGGCCTGCGGTCCAGAGAGACCGGGGTTCGGTTCCCGCTAAGGGCACGTATCTCGACTGCAGTTTGTCCCCAGCCCTGGTTGGTCGTGCAGGTGGCAACCACTCGATGTGTCACTTTCATGTCGATGTTTCTCTCTGTCTCTCTCTTCCTCTTTCTCCCTCTCACTCTGTCTGAACAAAAAATGGAAAAATGTCCTCAGGTGAGGATAAAAAAAAAAAAAAAAAGTATCCTTTGTGATACTTTAATGAGATTAAATGCTTATGTTTACATTTAATTTTGCTTCCCAGAAATTAAGACATCAAATGAGTCTAACGATGGAGAACTTTTTTTTTTTTTTGGCCAAACCATTTACAGTGATAGAAAGCCAATTCGTCGCTGCCTAGAGTGGGGAGGGCAAAGGGGTAGGCAGACGCTGCAAGGGACCAGCAAGAACTACTGGGCAACAGCAATGGTCTGTATGTTGACTGGGGTGATGGTTACAGCTGTATATCTACTTATCGAACCTCATCAAATGGAACACTTTAAATGTTTTCATTTGTTTTATGTAAATCACACCTTAATAAACTTGATTTAAAACTGTAAAAAAAAAAGAAATAGCCACATGTGCACTGCTGGGTTCTGCTCGGCTCTCGCAATTCCTCTGCTTCCTCCACGTCCCCAGCCCCACCCCTGCGGGCTGCTGTGCCAGCATCGGGACTCCCCACAGCACCCGGCTCAGCACCAAGCCCCTCCCTACCCCAATCTTCCCGCTGCTGGCGGCCAGCGCCAGTGGCGTGAGCCCCTTCCTGTTGGTGATTTCCTCCAGCTTCAGCGTGTGGTGGAGCTTGGCTCCCAGGATCAGAATCTCGTTGTACATGCTCGTCACAAACTTGGTGTTGTCAGCGGTGTTGTCGGCCACTTCCACCAGCGCGTGCAGCACTGTGTTGCCCACCGAGTCCCGGGCACTGATGTCTGCCGGCTGCCAGGAATTCTGCAGCAAGAACTTCACGATGCCCAGCTGGTTGGTGCACGCGGCCAGGGAGAGGGGCAGCTCACCTGCAGGCACACAGTGGGCCTCGGGAACGGATGGCCTGGGCCCTGGACCACCCAGCCTCTCCCTGTCTCCACCCCAAACCTCCCCTCAGCCATCATCAATAAGTCAAGAGTCTGCCATGTGGTCTCCCTACCAAAGTAGAAGCCAGGCCGCCCTTTGGTTTTCTTAAAGAAGTCCCCATTGGCCGCAGCCTGGACGTCTGCCCCATTCTCCACCAGGAGGGTCACCAGGGCCATGTTCCGCCTCTCGATGGCAATGTGCAGCGCTGTCTGGCCTGTGGAGGGTGCGAGCTGTTGGCTTTGTGTTCAGGTCCTGTAGGGGGCACCCAGACAGGTGCTGGGCGAGGACCTGGGTAGAAAGTGGCAGATCACCCCCCAGAGTAGAGGAAGCCAGGCCAGGATCCCGTGAAGGAGTCCCTGAGGCAGGACTAGAGACCCCCAGAAACAGAGGACACCAAACTGGAAGCTGGAGGAGTCAAAGTTGCCCAAGGGCAAGGAACAACAGCAGAGAGGGAGGCCAACAGTTGGAGAGGCCAGGAACACCAGGCGCACAGAGGGGAGGATGGGCCCCTCAGCACCAGGAGAAACCAAGCCAGCAGGGTGGGGAGCCGAAGACCCCAGGGTCAGGAGATGCCAACTTGGTGGCTGGGACAGGGCGTGAGTTGCTCAGAGACTTGCCTAGGCACGCCTGTGCCCTCTGGGCTGACCCAGCGCTCCTCACCCTTGTAGTAGTTGTCTGTGTAGCTGGCGTTGACAAGCTCCTTCAGGCTGTCCGTCTGCCGGGCGATCTCCAGGAGCAGGGGGATGGTGCTGTTCTGCCCATCGTGCAGATTGAGCATGGCTTTCAGCAGACAGGTCTTCCCGGTCTCTGGGTCTGGAGACAAAGTGAGGGTCAGAGCAGGGCGTGGCGGCTGGGACCGCACCCGGAACCCGGCCATCTCGGGGGCCACCTTTGAACTCGCTGTCCACGAGGTGCTTCTTGCTCTTCTGCAGGAAGAGCAGCAGGCTCTGCAGCTCCTCGCAGTTATTCTGAGCCACGGCTTCAAAGATCTTCCTGCGGTCATAGAGCTTGAAGCTCTTCTCCGTGCCGGCGGGGACGGAGTCCTGGGACGACTGCCTGTGGGCCAGAAAACACCCTTGTCTCATAAGCTGGGCTCCCCGCTTGGGCCTGAGGCCTTCGGAGCTTGTCGGGGAGCATGCTGAAACTCCAGGGCACACCAAAAGGACAAGACACATGATATACGACCCACCCCTCCATCTAGGTAACTGCCCAGGAAGTGGATGTGACAGGGAACTGGGGAGGGGGCGCGTGCCCCTGTTCTGTCCCTCCCGTCTGTAGGCACCATCTAGAAAGTCTTTACTGCCACCACTTCCTCCAACACTCAGGCCACCTGCTTGTCTGCCTGCTCGGGAGCTGGGGCTCAGAAGGTAGTAGCCAGGAGGGGGCTGGGGGCAGGGGTTTGGCTGGCTCTGCTAACTCAAAACCCATCCTCACGCTGCCCCGGAAGAAAGCCAGCCCGCGTGTTCTCCCTGTCTTGACTTGGAGGAGGCGGGAGGGCTGGTGGGCTCCTCGCGGGAGCTGTTCCGTACTCTAACAGCATCCTGCCCTTGAGCTTTTGGCTGGAAATCTACGTGTTTGAGGCTGGTGAGCATTGTAGGCCTGGGCAGCTGGAGATCAGCCGGCAGCGAGGCCCAGCATCCATGCAGCACCCACTGGTGACCTTGTGTGCTGAAGGTCGTGTGAGTACAGATGCTGGAACAGGCAACCTCTGGGGGCTCCCAGGCTCCCCCGCTCTGTGACCTGCAGCCCATAAGCTGGAGTACCACAGGTGTCTCCATGGCTGGGGCCTTAGCCAGCTGGCCCCTGTGGGGAGGAAGCTTACCTGGCACATGTGAGGCCATCCCCAGTCCTTTGGAGGATGACAACAGGACTGACTGTGATGGCCGGGCAGGACGCTGGCTCACCTTCCTCGTAAGAGCAGTCCATAGGAGAAGCTGGCCGCGCTCCTGGCTGTGGGGAAGATGTTGGGCTTGGTTGGAGCTGGCCTGGAGTTAGGGTCCCCATCCAGGGGGTCTGAGTGAGAGTCCACTTGTGGCATACCCTCAGACTCCCCTAAGTCTGAGTTCCCCCATTTCTTCATCCTTGCCCAAGAGGCAGCCTGCAGACAGCCACCAAGATCTGGTTTGTCCCCAGCTCGAGGACTGCACAACGCTACCAGCTGCCTGCCTTCCTTGCAAAGGCCCCTGTGAAGCAGGACATCCCAGAGGCCCAACAGCCTCTGGAAGCTTTCCCTGGTGCTGTACCTCCTGCCCCAGAGACCTCAGTGGCAGCCCCGGGGGCATCAGCCTCTGGGAGTGGACGGGCACCCAGCTTGGAGTCCGCAGGCTCTGGGGGACGTGGATGGGTCCCTCCTCTTCTCTGGGCCTCCCTTGCCTCGTCTGCAGGCTGCGGACCCGCCGCTGCTCAGCATCCCTCCGAGATCAGAATAAGGGAATCCGTGGGAGTGGCTGTCCTGGCTGTGCCTGCCGGGCAACTCGGTGATGCGGGAGGCTCCGCCGGAAGCCCAGCCGTCTGCATCACCGAAGCAGGGTGGCTGCCACAGACCAACCTTCACATTCCAGCCTGCACAGGCCCCGCCAGCAACCCCACCGGCAGCCCCGCCCGCACGTGCCTTTGCTCTTCCACCTGGCTGCTGGGACCACTGAGTTTATAGAGGATTTTTTACGCTTTTTGTCATTTTTGTGAAATGAGGATGCGTCCAACATCCTGGCCCTGAGCTTTTCTACTCTGAGGGGCTGGTGGGCCTTCCAGGCCTGAACACACCAGCACGTGTGGCTGTGAACTTGTGTGGATACTGGTTTTCACTCCCTTCCTGGCCTCACCTCTGGCTCTTCCCCTCCATCCGGCGGGGCATCCCCACTCCTTGGTGCAGGGCTGGCCCATTCTCAGTGGCCTCTGCTCCTGCCGTGCCTCCACTTGGGGTGCTTTCTCCTCCTTTTCTTGCCCAAATCATACCACCTCTCAGATGCCACCTCCCTCAAGGTCCGGTCTCCTCCACACCCCGTGGACCCTGCACCTGCCATGCTCCTTCCTCCTCCACAGTGGCCCTCCCATCCCTCACGGCCCTCTTAGTGAGGTCCACTGTGCAGTCCAGCGATGTCTGTCTGTCTCGGCTTTATCTCCCCTGCCCAGTGGCCTCCTCCTGGACAGGGAGCTTGCCTGATCTGTCCCCTATGAACAAACGCTGTGCTGGTCACTGGGGACAATGAGAGATCAGCCTCAGAGCTTCTCGTCCCCGCTTCCATAGGGAGGTGGGGAGAGTCGTGTTAGAGAGAGCAGTGGACGGATCCCAGAACACAGCCGCTGAAGGAAAGGAGGCTTCTCAAGACATGCATTTTCCAGTGGAAGTTCAGGCAGTGAAAACTCAGAGCACGTGGCGGGGTCAGGGCAATAAATCAGCTACGATCCGATGCGCGATCCATGGGGGGAAATGAGGCCGTCTCGGTCACTCGGCATCCCGAGAACAGGACAGACCTGACTGCCGGCCCATGTCCCCTCCTGTCTGCTGTTCTGCTTTCAGGAGGACCTGCCTCTTTCTCTGATTCGACCACCAGGTGGAAACCCTGTGGCAGGAAGTGTTCCTGGCCACAGGAAGCACCCCTCCCAACCACTCAGCCATTCATTCAGCCTTCGCTCAACACTGCCCTGCTGAGCCCTACTGAGTGCTTGGCCCAGTGCTGGGGGCACAGAGAGGACTCAGACCTCATCTGAGACAGAAACCAGGTGCCGGCTAGGGTGTGGGGGTGGCAGGAGGGGCCAGGGTGCTGAACAAGGCTGCGTGGAGGAGGGGACAGATGGGCTGGGCCTGGAGGGGAGCAGGGCTGGGCTGGGACTGAGGGAGAGGGGGGGATCCCTGCAGCAGCCAATGAAGAGAAAGCCAGTGGGACTGGAGGGTAAGTAGCAGGGCAGACGGAAGGCTGCCAGCCTTGAATGCCAAGGCCACGGGATGTGGATACTATTGTGTGGATGGTAGGAAGCCATGGGAAAGCCTTTCAGAAGGCTGACCCTGGGTGCTAGTCTGTGTTTCCAGAAGATAACTTCCTGCCAGAGACTGTTAATTATATGCGGAGCCTGTTACCATTTAAAAGGCACAGGAGGGCCCTGGCCAGTGTGGCTCAGTTGGTTGGGCATCCTCTCGTGCATCGAACGGTTGCCAGTTCGATTCCTGGCCAGGGCATATACCTGGGTTAGGGGCTCAATCCCCAGTCAGGGATGGGGGCACATGCAGGAGGCAGCCAGTTGATGTCTCTCTCTCTCTCTCTCTCTCCCCCTTCCTCTCTCTCTAAAAATCAATAAAAAATATTTTTAAAAATAAAAGAAAAGGCATAGGAGGCCAGGAGGAATGAAGATGACTGTGTTTGAGCACATGCTGTGCAAAGGCAAACACTGTTCTGACATGTTACAGGCTTCCGCCCGCTCACCTCTCATACTTTACAGATAAGGAAACTGAGGCACAAACGGTTACACTACTTGCGGGAGGTCACATACAAGAAAGAGAACCTGGATCGGATCCCCGGCAGCCGGGCCCCAGAGCATCTTCAGCTCTCGGGAAGGTTGGAGGCTCTTTCTCAGCCATTAAACTCAGCCCCAGACTTCACACCGGAGCCCGGGGACCAATCTGACCCCCAGCTCTGGGGCCAGGCAGGTGGGGACAATGCCTTTCCACCCTGAGGCCCCGAACCTGCACTTGCCTCTTGCTCAAACAAGTGCCCCAGGAAGCTCAAAACCCAAACGAAGTATAAATAACACCCAGGCCATAGGCCAGGACAGACTATTCCCGGAATGTCTCCCCTCGAACGAGGCTGGTTACAGAACCAAGAATAAGCCTGCTGCCTGACCAGCAGCTCTCGGAGTAACAGGAGCACCTACCAACCTTTCAGCAATGTTCCTTGTTGGCAGCCTCGTCTCTTCCTCTGACCGACTCAAATCTAACCCAGCCCAGCAAACAGCAAGCCTCCTAGGACCATCACTCAGTCAGTCAACAATCCCCAGATGGGTGCTGCGCGCCCTGCTCCTGAGTCCCTGCTAGAAACCAAGCTTGTCCCAGAGCAGAGCGCAGGAGAGGGACTGAGAGGCCCTCTGGGCAGGGAGGATGGAAGGGACAGGAGAGTTTGTCACTGCCAGGCCTGAGATGTGAGCCTCATGGCCACCCAAATGTTCTAGTGATGGGGGGATTCCAACCATGATCTGGGGTGTCTGAAGGAGATGGTTGTTCTGGTTTATACAAGAGTCACAAACTCACCAATCTGAACTAAAGACCAGTCCCGAGAAGACTACCCTACCCAACAAAGACCTGGTTTGGCCTCTGGGTATTTCTCAACTCCAGAGCCAGAAAGGACGCTGCCTACCCGCTGGGAGAAGCCTCCCTCCCTTCTTGTCTCTCCAATCCAATCGAGACATCCTAGGGCGTGGCTCTCCCGAGGCCCTCTCTGCTCAAGCATCTGTCTGCCTCTAGCCTCCCTGCGGGACCTGGTCATTCTTGTCCCCTCCGCCTACCTGAGCATCTCCTAAAGAGAGCTGGAGAGCTAGGAGCATCCCAACCCTGAATGAAGAGCCAGAGGATCTCTACCAAATACAGAGAGAGAGAACGGACACTGGACAAAACCCAGGGCTCCTGCCTCCGGACTCAGCCCTCCTTTACTCCAGAGGGATACACGCCGAAACCTCCAGCCACAAACCACTGGCCTCAGCAGCAGCCACGGGCTCTTCACCCCAGGATGACTCTGGTGCAAATACCACACATGCATAATAGCGACCTCCACTATCACTTACCAAGCACCTGCAATCAACCAGGCTAAGTGCCCCACAGCCACAGCTTCACTGACACCCCACCAGGACCTCTGAGACACCCACTGTTCCGATCCCATTTTCAGGGATAACTGAGGCGCCGAGAGCCTGGTTGAATTGCCCATAGTCACACAGCTGGGAAGTGCAGGGCCCAGCTTTTGACGGCTCGCTGTGCCATCCTAACAGCTAACATCTGCGTTGGCCATCAAACAACAAAAGGGACTCACCAGCTAGATGCAGGCACACCCCAGACCCAGTGGAGGTGGTAAGCTGCGAAGCCGTTGCCTCTTGAAGGGAGAGCTGGGCTGGTGTGGGGAGAAGTGTCTCCCCTCCGCCGGAGGGTCCTGGGCGCCCTGGGCCACGGCTGCTCTGCTCTGGCAGCGATGGGCTGTGGGCACGCTCTGGCACTCAAGGAAAGCGTTTCCAGCAATGGCAGCAGCTGCTGTTGCTGCAGCTCGGATTCCCAGAGGATCCCAAAGCCTTTCCCATCATTTTTGCCCTTTTTCAGAAACCACTTAGCCGCTGCCCCTCCTCCAACCATGCCAGGGCTGCAGTGCACTTAGCCACACAGCCCAAAGCAGCCAGGGATGTGACCTCAGCTCCCAAGGAAGGAGGGTGCCGCTCAGGCCTCCCGAGCCCACCGCTCCTACAGCCGGGCCTTCTGGGGAAACAGCTCGACAACTGCAGTCTCACAGCCAGGAGGCAACCTGGAACTGCTGTTTTCAAAAGGCAGGAGGAGTGGGAATGGTCGTGTGACCCATCACCCAGCCCTGGCCTGCCATTGGGGGACCTGGTTTCGAGCACTGGCTTTGCACCAACTGTGTGTGACCACGAACCAGCCTCTCTGGGGCCTCTCACTCCCTGTGTGTCCAACCCTGGGGTGGGCCTTGAGGTGGAGGGGCTTCTGAGTCGGCCAGGTCCCAGTCTTTCTCCACTAGGGTTCCTCACAGAACCACAGAACAGAGAAAAGTTTGCATCTGTTTTCTCATTTCTCCAAGTACGCTCCTAAATGCTCAGGAGCAAAGTTCATTCATCACATACAGCAGGGCTTATGCCTCCCCGGAACCTGGCCGAGAAAAGCTGCAAAGTCTTTCTGGGTGTGCATACAGGCTGCAGCCCCAAACGCCATGCAGAAGCCATCCCAGCGGCTGCCCAAAGGAACCCTATAGGCCTCCAGCAAGCGTGGGGCAGACACAGTCCGAAAGGAGCAGCTACAGGCCAGAAAGGCCCATCGCGGCCCTGCCTGGAGCGCTCACAAGCCCTGACCCGAGTCAGGCATTGAACTGCAGAGGC